CTAATGTTCTTTTATTTCAGCCTGAAATAAAAGGCTCCTTTTAGCATTAATTGTAGAATAGGTTTACTAGAGACAAATGCCATCAGCTTTTATTTACCTGTTAATGTCTGAGTTTCTCCACTGTTTCTGAAGGAGAGTTTATACAACTCTCCTTCAGAAAGACAGACATACAACTGTCAGTTTGCAAGGGTTTTTTTGTTTCTTTGTTTTGTTTTTTTCCCCTTTCTGAACTGTAAGTTTGTCCTGCCAATGTCTTCTGAACTCCATGGTTTCTGAAGAACACTTGGCTGTTAATCTCTTAGAGGATCCTTGTACTCAATGAGTCCCTTCTCTTGTTGTTTTCAAGATGCTCTGTTTATCTTTAATTTTTGACAGTTGTATTATAATGTCTGTCAGTGTGGACATCCTTGAATTTATGCTGCTTTAAATGTTTGAGTATGATGGATACCCAGATTTGTTTGTAATAAAACTTTGGAAGTTTATGGTTATTATTTTTTCAAATATTCTTTCTCCCCACTTCTTTCTTCTCCCTTTTGAAGATTCCAAAAATGCAAATGCTAGAAGTTGTCTCTCAGATCTCTTCTGCTGATTTTTCTTCATACTTTTCTCCTTCTGCTCCTCAAATGGGACAATTTTAACTGACCTAAGTTCATGTTTGCTGATTCTTCATTCTGCATACTAAAATCTGTTCTTGAATCCCTCCAGTGAATTTTCCATTTTGCTTCCTGTACATTTCAGCTCCAGAATTTCTATTTGGTTTCTTTTCACAATTTTTACCTCTGTATTGATTTTCACTATTTAGTGAAACATATTTCTCCTGATTCTCTTTAGTTATTTGTACATGAATTCCTTCAGCTCTTTGACTATTTTAAGACAGTTGATTTAAAGTCTTTGTCTAATAAATCAGTCCAGTGCTTGGCCTTTTTCAGGAACAATTTCTGTTTATTGCTCTTCCTGTGAATGGGTTATACTTTCATATATGCATAGCTCATGTTTTCTGAAGTTGAAAACTAGACATTTTTAATATTACAATATCGTAACTGTGAAAATTACATTTTCTAAACTATTTTTGTATAGACTGTATTCTTTATTTTGTGTGGTCACTGAAGTCTTTGTTCTGTTAGCTTATTGGTCTTCTAGTGTTTTCACAGAAATTTCCTTAAATGTGTTGAGCAAAAA